GTGGCGGGGTCCTCCATTGCTTTCTTCATCTGCTCCTCCATAGCTGCCTGTGCATCACCTGCCCCGCCGCTGCGCACGCTCACGACCCGGCCAGGGCCGCTGACGGCGCGCTGGCGAGTGCCAGGAGCCGCGCGCGCCGTGGTGAATGCGCGGCTGCCGATGTTTAAAGCGAAGGCCATGGCTGGAAAATCTGAATTTGGAGCGAAATGGCCGGATTCGCAGGTTTCTCGCCGACAGTGCTTGGAGCGGATTGACGATGGAATGGCTAGGCGAGCTTCGTGAAAGGTAAACTTTAAAACCTTTCGAAGATGTACATGAACAAGATCCCGTAGATCCAGGCCATTCTTGTCGAGCTGGACGGCCGAGACGCGGTCACTCTGATCGAGTGCCGACCGTTCCGTTTTGTGTACGACTGCAGAGAAAGCTGAGTGCAAGGTGAATCAATTTGATTGAAAAATTTGCTGCCACAGCCTCGTGTGCACATACGCTCCAGGATATTGTCGCCAACGCAACGCAGCAGCGCTGCGCGTACAGTGTGCGAAAGGATACCGGCGCGATTTCACAGAGTGGACAGAGCAGCACCAGGGGGCTGATCAAGTGGCAACGGCGTGCATGCATTTGGACACATTGGAAACATGCTGGGCAGTACTGAGGGTGGCAGGAGCCAGGCAGCAGCAGCAGCAGCTGCTGCAATTGCGACTGCAGCTGTGGCGGCCAGCGTATGGTGCGCCTACACGGTGCGCTGGACCGTGTGCACGAGAAACCACAGATGCCCAGCAACCCTGAGAGGCCGCAGCGCTAGGGTTGGCTGCAGGACACCAGTAGTATGGGCGTAGCGTGGCATGTGCCGACACCCTTTGCGGACATGCCCGTCTTTGCAGGCGACCCGGCGCTCTCGGGGCGGCGCCCGCGCCGCCGGCGGAAACGGCAGGGGCGACAGCCACCTGGCGGGCTGCGTCGTTGACGGTGTTCTGGGGGCCATCGGCAACACACCGCTGATCCGCATCCGCAGCCTGTCAGAGGCCACCGGTTGCGAGGTAGGCGTGCGCATGGGCCAGCACGATTCGTACCTAAAGACTAGTCCTGGCAGGCAGCCCTCAGCAGCAGACGGGCATCAGCATGGCTGGTTCAATGCAGCTCCGCGCACCTCACCCCAAGCACCCTGATCAACGACCGGCGGCTGGGCAGAGCAGCAGCGCGGTTGAGTGCAGCGAGCAGGTTTCACACAATCTCTAGCATGCCCCTGCAACCTCCGTGGTGACGTTCCCCACATGACTCAACCCAGATCCTGGCCAAGGCTGAGTTCCTAAACCCTGGGGGCAGCGTGAAGGACCGGGTGGCGCTGCAGATCGTGCAGGAGGCGCTGGCGGAGGGCCGGCTGGCGGCGCCAGGCGGCCTCATCACGGAGGGCACGGCCGGCAGCACCGGCATCGCGCTGGCCATGGTGGGTGTGGTGCAGGGTGGGCACACTGAAACACTGCGAAGGACACGTGCAAGCGGGTGGGGCGGCGCAGCCAAATCATCGGGGTCGGGGTCGACCAATGTTTTAGGGATGACCGTCGCAGGAACGCGCCCCAGCGCTGAAGCTAGCTTGCCGGCTGGCTGCCACGCTTGGCCGCGCCGCCGCCAGCATCCTCCCACGCGTGTCAGCGCTCGCGAACTGCCGTTCCTGCCGCTGCGATTGCCAGGTGGCGCGCGCCCTTGGCTGCCGCTGCTTCATCGCGATGCCCGACGACGCCGCCATTGAAAAGGCCCAGACACTCCACGCTCTTGGTGAGTGCTTTGGGGGCGCCCAGCTACCCTCCAGGCCCCCCCCCCAAATGTTGGCCGTGAGCTGTGGTGTGCGATTTCTCGCTGCTCTCCGTGCAACTTTTCACGTGTCACTGCTCCTACGCATCGCGCCCCGCACTGGAGCTGGTGTTTTCAGAGATATCTGAACGTACGGCGGCGCGCCCTTCCCTGTGGGCCCCGCGCCGTGCTCGCGGCCGCAGGCGCAGAGGTTCAGCGGCTGCGGCCGGTGTCCATTGTGCACCCCGACCATCCCGTCAACGTCGCGCGGCGCCGCGCGGCGGCTGAGGGCCCGGGGTCTGTCTTTGCGGACCAGTTTGAGAACCTGGCAAACATGAGGGCGCACGTCCAGACAGGTGAGCGGCTCAACGGCGCCTGCGCGCATCTGTTTTCCCACACTGCCCGTGCACGTGTGTCCGGGGGCACGGCAGCCACGCGGGTGCAGCCGTGCACTCTTTCGCTTGCAGGCACGTGAGGAGAGGCCTGCTTGATGGCTTTCGTGCACTCCTTCGTCTCCCGCCAGCCCTCATCGCTACCCCCTTGCTGAACCCTCCCTCCCTGCCGCCTGCACCGCCACCACCCGCAACGTCCAGGCCGCGAGATCTGGGAGCAGACGGGCGGCCGCGTGGACGCGTTTGTGTCGGGCGCCGGCACTGGCGGCACCATTGCGGGGGTGTCGTCCTACCTCAAGGCCAGGGATCCCCGGGTGCGCGTCTTCCTGGTAGATCCCCAGGGCTCCTCTTTGTATAACAAGGTGCGGCCCCACGTCAGCACGCCAGTTCACCTTCCGACAGCGACACGCGGGCTCGAGCCGGGGCCAGAGGGAGGGCTGCGCGTGGCGGCATGGGCAGCCGGTGGCCGCCCACCGCCGCGCAGCTGCAGCGCGGAAGAGCGCCCTCTGTATACGCGGGCGTCGCCCTTTCGGCCGCGTCCGTCCTGGCACCCCTACGACTTACACTCCTGGCGCTTTGTTGCCACGCCCGCCCCCGGCCCGCCGTGCATCAGGTGACTCGCGGCGTCCTGTACACGCGCGAAGAGGCGGAGGGCACGCGGCTCAAGAACCCGTTTGACACCATCACGGAGGGCATCGGGCTCAACCGCCTGACAGCGAACTTTGGCGAGGCCCTGGGCCGCATGGACGGCGCGTTCCGGGGCAGCGACCGCGAAGCGGTGGAGATGGCGGCGCACCTGCTGCGGTGCGAGGGCCCCGGGGCGAGGGGTGTGGGGGAGGGATGGCGCGCGCACGTTTGAGGCGCTTGCTCGGGTTGCCGCTGCTTGCGTGTGCAGGGGTGGTCGAGTGCAGCCACCGGGGAGCTGCGAGCGCCTGATTGTGGGGCGGACTTCAAGATCAGATCTGCTGGGGGCCCAAACGCAAAGTGCCTGGTCCACTTCCAGACCTGCGCCGTGCTCCCAGTCCCTCTGTTGCTGACGTCTGCGGGCCCGCTGTGTCCCCCCTGTGACCGCTCCGCAACACGCCCTCGACCCGCATAACCCCTGCGCACGCCCGCAGCGCCGACGGCCTCTTTGTGGGCAGCAGCGCGGCGATGAACTGCGTCGGCGCGGTCAAGGCGGCACGCCGCCTGGGGCCGGGCCACACCGTGGTCACGCTGCTGTGCGACGGCGGCCAGCGCCACCTGTCCAAATTCCACAACCCCGAGTACCTGGCGCAGTGGGGCCTAGCGCCGGCCGCGGCGGCGGCGGACGGGCTCGAGTTCGTGGAGTGATTGGGGCCCCCCAAAGGCTGCTGCAACGCAGCTGTGCAGTCTTAGCTGTTCGAGCAGGTGCATGGGTACCTGTGACCGCGGCAGCCAGCTGCAACTACTGGCGGGAGGGGGCCCTTCACCATGATGCAAGCTTTCGCACAGGTGAACAGTTGGAGATGCAGGCGGCTGGGTCCCAAGGGACGAGGCCTGCCGCTGCACAGCAATTGGCAGCGCCGTGCGTGTCCGGCCCGACCCAACGATTGCGTGTCGCTCCGGCACCAACTGCCATGCGCCAGCAGCGCCAGATGCTGTGCCCTGACATTTGGGTGTTGGGGGAGCTCCTTGGCACGCCGCAGAGTGCTTTGCCTGCCAGTGCATGGTGGGTAAGTCCGACAGCATGCGTGTGGCATGTCAGCAGATGTTTGGGTGCTCCCTGCTGTGAGCTTGTGCTAATGACCCTGGACAGTATACAGGCCTGCGACATTACATGGATGCGTGACATACTTCGTTTGCGCGCCAGATGGCAGCCCAACGGGAAACCACAAGCCAAAATGGTGACGAGATGGCGTGTCGGGGCACTGCGCTTGCGCACTTGCGGCAGTAGGAGGTGGGATGATACAAACCATGCGGGCGCAGTACAGAGCGCATCATCTTCCTTTCCAGCGAGGATATGTATGAGCGGCTCTGCATGCACCGCCGGATGCAGACGCGGCCTGCGCGCCCGAGTGGCGGCACATGCCAAGAAAGATGGGGACCAGAGGGATCAAAACCAAAAAAGCACAAGTAATCAAAACTGAAGCGATCTGCGTCAACAAAAGCAGAGTCACTAATCAAAGGAGTTGGGCAACGAGTGAAGACCTACACTTGCATCGTCAGCATCAAATGTCCTGCAGCTGACTACGGAGGCGACGAGGCACAGGGCGGAGAAGTCAACCAGCCTGTCGCGCGTTGATGGACAGCGCTGCAAGCGCGGTGTACCTTGTACCACCCATGCCCGCCGCGTGCAGCTGCTCTGTTCGTTCAACACACCGTGCATTGAACCATGTGTGTGGCCGCTTGTTTGCGGCCATGCGTTTGTGCCGCGGCCCACCCTGGCCCACACACCAGTTGAGGCAACACGGCCACTGGCCTGCAAGGGGTTGAGAGGCGAAGGCCTGAGGCCCTCGGTCAAACGATTTCAAAGGCAGGCGCGCGGGCAGAAAGGCCCAGCGTCATTGCGTGTGCATGTGGCCGGCGTGTCAGCACGCCTGCGCCCCCTCGTGTGGGCGTGTGAAGATGATATGAGCCCTCCCTGTGCATGAGCGCCGCAACGGCGTCTGGCAGCACGGGAGCTGCCACGCAGGCCCCACCGCCTCCTTCCCTGGCTTGAGCCGCGCAGGCGCACGTATGGTGGTCCAGACCGCCCGGTGGGGGTGTCCCCCAGGCGGCTGCCCACAGGGGCGTAGGGTATGGCAGGTGCACTGCCCAAACAAAGTCAAACGGGGGTCCCAGGCTCGCAGGAGCCGCATCTGCCTCATCGATAAACGGTCTGTCTATCTGCATCATGTATTGACAAACACTCAATGTGCTAGCTGCAGGAATCCTCCAAGTGCCCGCTCCTGCTGGCAGAAGCAGTCGCCTGTTGGCCTGCTGCCGCGTTTTGCAACCGCAACGCAGCGCTTCTGCAGGCAGCCGAAGGGCGGGCCTGAACACCGCCCACCACAGCCCAATGGCAGCGTAGGTAGCCGCGTCAAAAAAGGGTCGATGCTTCAGCATGATGCAGGTTGGAATATTTGAAGCAACCTGTAAGAATGATCAACGAGTCCAAGGCGGGCCGCGCCCGCTCACAAGGCGGCGGCAGGGGCCACGCAGGCAAAGAGGCGGCGCAGAAAGGGGGGCCGTGCCGTGATGGGGCCGTGCCCCTGCGGCAGATGCTGCTGCTGCTGCTGCTGCTGGTGGTGCTGCTGTGCCGCACGGGGCACAGACGCCTTCGACAGCAGAGGCCGACGGAGTCGCGACTTTTGCTGCTGCTCTTGCTGCTGCTGGTCAGGCTGCTGCTGTTCATCCGGCTGCGTGGGCCACCATTCTGCAGCGGCCACCACACCGCCATGCGGCACAGCGTCGTTGGCAAGGACGTGCGTCGCAGGCGGGCAGCTGGCCGCATGCGCGCGAAGGGAATGGCCGCTAACACCCCCTCCCACGGGCGCTTTGGGTGGGGCCTCCTGGGCCACTGCTTGCGACGGCGGCGGCGCCGGCGAGACACTTGGCGAGACGGGCGCCTGCGGCGCCAGCAGCAGGGTGTGCACGAGCAGCTGAATGTCCGGCCGCTCAAAGGGGCTGCGCCGGCTGCCACCCGACCAGAGCGCGCTCGCGGCGCCCCGCCCCGGGGCACGCAGCGCCGGAGACGAGGGCTGCGGCTGCAGCGGCGTCGTCGACGCTGCTGGAGCCGGGGTCGACGGTTCGTCGACCGCGCACGGCTGCTGCGTGACTAGAGAGCCTGCTGCTGCCGAGGACGACGACGGCCCCCTGGCATGCAGGGCCGTTGCGCTCCGCCCGCTCTTGACACCAAAAGCAAAGCCGCCGGCGGCGGAGGGAGACGAGGGGCCTGTTAGGCAGCTGAATGCAGGCGGGGTGCCGACCAAGGCGCCGCCAAAGCTGCCGCACTCGTCAGTGAGCGTGGTGGTGTCGTCGGCCATCGTGCCGAGGCTGCTCCTGTCACACCTGGCCGCCGCGGCCGCAGCGCACGCCTGCACGCCACCGAGTGGCGCCGGACCCACGCCAGCTGCGAGGTGCGCCACTGCAGCCTCGCCACCGCTGCGGCAATCCCCACCGCCGTGGGCCTGCAGCAGCAGGCAGGGCGCCGCCGGCGCCTTGCTGCCGCCGCCGCAAAGCACCGCGGGCGCGGCTGCGCTGCCCGGGCCCTTCAGCCCACGCGCGCGCGCGCCGCCGCTCTGCCGCTGCAGCTCCTCGATCGAACCTGCGCTGTCGGACCGAGGCGCTCCCCCGGTGGAGCCACCGCCCGCAGACGCGACTGCCGCGGCGATCCAGGGGTGCGCGAGCAGCTCTCGCGCGGTCGGCCGCGCGGCCGGGTCGTGCGACAGACAGCGCGCCACAAAGTCCTCGAAATCGCGGCTAACTTCGCGCGGCAGTGGCTCGCGGGCGCCCGTGAGGATGGCGCTGGCGACTGCTTGGTAGCTGCTGCCTTGGAACGGCTTGTAGCCCGCCACCAGCTCGAACAAGCAGACCCCCAGGCTCCAAATGTCAACCTCAGGGCCGAGGCGCCCCTTGAGCGCGGCAGCGCGCGGGGGCGAAGGCGTGGCGCCGGGGGTGCTGGGGGCGATGGGAGAGCCGGGGTCGGTGGGGGCGTGCTTGGCCGCGAGCATCAGGACTTCTGGGGCCATGTATGGCACCTGATAAGGTTGCAGATGGTTGGGCAGGGTTTTGTTGGCGGAGGGCGGTCAGAATGGGTCAAAATGCAGAGATTGTGCAGGTCCAAAACTCGCACAGGGGGCTGACAGGGTAAGAGCGGCAGCTTGGGGACTGACAGTGCAGATTTGAAATGCTATTTCCTTTCAGCAAGCAAGGGGCCTTGCAGTGTCACGGCCAGGCAGGACGGAGAAGAGAGCAGACGTGTGGGCGCGCGTGGCGCGCGTGTGCGCGCGTGGGCGTGTGCGCGAGTGGGCGTGTGCGCTCACCGTGCCGACGGGCGCGCGGGCCGGGGCGTCGTGGGAGAACACTGCCAGGTCAAAATCTGTGTGTGTGTGTGTGTGTGTGTTTGTTCATGTTAGGGGGGTGCTGTGTGAGTATGTGTGCGTGTGTGTGGCGGGACAGGCGAGGGCCACGAGATGAGGTCGCGCCAACAGACGCACGGCCTGCAGGCGGCGATTGCGCTGCGCTGCAGGCGAGGCAGGCGCGCAACGCAGGCACGCACAGATTCTCAGACCAGCCCAGCCCCAGGCTGCCAGGCACATTGAGGCCCACACACAAGGGCGCGGCCTGCAGCGCGCGCCCGTGGTGGCAAGTCGGCGCGCACGCTCGCGCATTTTGGCTTCCGCGGCGCCGCACTCACCTCCCAGGCGGGGGCGACCGCGGCCGTCCAGGAAGACGTTCTCCAGCTTGATGTCACGGTGAGCCACCCCGGCCCGGTGCATCGCGTCCACGGTGCACAGCAGCGGGGCGGCGATCTGGAGACGCGCGCGCGTCCGCGGGCGCACATGGGTGGGCAGCTGTTGGTGACGAGGCCGCGCCGCTGCCGGGGCGGCGATTTGCTTCCACATGCTCGGCTGGTGATAGTGCAATGCGCCAGCCCAGCAGGCCGCCGCGCGCACGCAAACCCAGCACAAAACATCCTGCCTGCCGACGCCGCATCCGCCGGCCCACCTGCGCGGCGACGACGCGCTCGGGGAACCCGTGCTGGCGCTCCGCGAGCGCGGCCCGCAGGTCGCCGCCGGCGCACCACTCCTGCACCAGGTGTATCTGGCTGCGGACGCTGTACGCGCTCCAGAGGTGCGGGATGTTGGGCACGCTGATGTGCGGATTTATGACAGGGAGAGGGGGATGGAGGGGTGCGGCGCAGGGCAGGTGAGGACGGCATCGCGAGGGGCCGTGGCAGTTGAGCGGGAGTTGAGCAAGACGCCAGGGGCACGCGCGGGCAGTTGGGGCGGCCGCCGCCAGGATACGGGCTGACCCTTGGAGCCCCCAGGGCGCGGGCAGTGGCAGGGTCGCTGGGCGCGGCTGCGGTTGCCGTCCTGCAGCAGATGTGTGCGACCCGGGCTGGCTGTGATAAAGCTGCGGACCGGCCATCTGCGCACCCCTTGGACTGCAGGTACCGCAGCACCATGGCCTCCTGCGCGACACAGGCGTGCAGGGGCGTGTGCAGAGGGACGGTTGGGTGGTGGCGGCCTGGGAAGCTGCCCGATTCCACGCCTGTGGCTAGACCGTCACACTTCAGTCGTAGCTGCGCCAGGCTGCGCGGCGGTCCCTGCAGCTCCATGGCTCAGCAGCTCACCCGAGTCGCCATGCGCAGCTGCTTTTGAGCTGGCTGGTCGTAGACCTTGATTGCCACCAGGCCAATAGGGCAGCGGCCCACGTGAATCGTGGAGTACCTGCGCGCCATGTGTGTGGTGGTGCGTCAAGGGTGGAGTCAAGTGCGCGCGCGCGCATTCCCAGCGCGAACGATTGCGGGGCGCCGCGCTAGGCCCCAAAGCAATATGTTTAATAGATCGTGCATCGTACGCGCCCATCCGCTGGAGAAGCAGGGGGTGGCCCCAGAGAGTTCGAGCATGGCGCGATCAGCGGTTGACTCACGATCGCATGGCCCGCATGCTGCTCCCTCGTTACCTGCCACGCCGTATAGCTTCAGAGACCTCCTCACAGACGTCCACCGTGATGTGGCTGCCGCACTCGGGGGACGCCGAGCCATGGGGAGAGGTGAAAGCTGCCACAGGGCCACCCTGACAGCCGCGCCCCATGTTGCTTAAAATCAGCTGATAGAGTGCCTACAGAAATACACGAAAAGCCATGCCGAGACGGGCCCCCAGCCTGTCGTGAAGGGCTCCGCGCTCGCAAAGAACGAAGTGTGCAAACAGCCGGGCTTTGCAGGAGAGCGCTATGTCGTCTTGGTGACCGAAGTAAACGTTGTATCGTTGACGAGAATGTTCGTGCGAAGGCCTGCCTTTTGGACCGAAGGGAGGTATGCAGTGACTGCATATCCAAGAGTGACGCGCCCGCCGATGACGAGCAGTTGCCGCCTTGCGCCTCGGGCTGCACAAAGGCCTAAAGCTGCAGTTCTGCCCGCACCTGCCGCTGCGCTGTGCTTGTTTCGGTGATGTTTGCCGGTGTCATTTGCGTGAGTTACTCAAACAACCCTCCCGAGGTGGAGGATCGCGGCCCGCGGGCCCTGAGACAAGAGCAGGGCCACATGAGTTGGTCCGAGAGAACCCCGCTACAGGAGTTGGTCCGAGAGGGCCCCGCCATGGGTGTAGTATTTTACATAGCCTTTGCTGCAGCCATATCTACTGCCAAACAAGGAGCACCGCGAGTGCGCTGCGCACGCGCTCCAGGGCGAGGCTGCGCTCGCTGCAAGTGGCCCGACACAATCACAGCAAAGGGGCTTCCAAAAGCGGCGTGCCGCCTGAATTGCGGCCTGGCGCGTGAGTTTCGCTCTCATAGGCACATGCACAGCAAATCACGCAGGAGCCCTGCGTGCTCGGCTGAATGTCTACCCCTGTGCTGCGGGGCCCATATCAGCCTTCGCAGTGAATCGCGGCCGGCGTGCCAAGGTGACTAGCGTAGGACTAGATGGGACCCAGGCCACCGTTCACGCAAACCGTAAATGGCGCTAGAAAAAAGACCGTGATAGAGAAGTGCAAGGAAAAGGGAGCTTGCACGCTTGGAACACACGGCGCACGCCCTACGTTGACCGCGCGTTCCAAACAAGGCCAGGCCACCGCGCGCCCCTGCCGCGTGGGCGTGCGCGCGCGCGGGCGCCCGCCCGCGCGCCTACTGCTGCGCGCACTGCACGCGCTGCGCGCCGCCGCCCCCCGGGTAGTCGTCGTCCTCGTCAGACTCGTACGCGTTGCTGGACGCGCCGCGCGCCAGCCGCGCGCGCTCCTTGCGCTCCCCCTCCTGGAAGTCCTTGACGCTGTCCGCCACGTGGCGCAGCCGGCAGGGCTCAGCGTCGTCCAGGTCCATGGAGCCGCCCGCGCCGCCGCCGTTGGCCGCGTCGCCGGCCGGGGGCGTGGCGGGCAGCAGCGTGCGGAGGCTGTCGACCGCGGCGGCATCCAGGGTCTTGGGGAACTCGACCTGTGGGGGCCAAGGCGCAGGGCGTGGGGGAGGGGAGGGAGAGGGTGAGGACAAGGGTGGGTGGGACGGCCAGGCGCTGCGACGGGTGATTCGGCGCAAGGCGCACCGCGAGGTGCAGTCAAATGGGGGCGGGTCAGCCACGTAGCTGTGCAGTCACCCCAACCCCCACCTC